GAGGTAGATCTTATTTCCCCACATGGTACAGGGGGTTGGACTAGATGACCCTTTAGATCCCTCCCAGCTCCATGTTTATATGATCACATATCCCAGCAGGACTTTTAACAGACAAAAAAGTGCTTTCTGGATTTCATTTTCCCAGTGAAAAGTCAGGAACGGATCGGGAAGGTGTTCCCTGTGCTGGTGTGTGAACCGGCTGTCACACAGGAGAGGGGCCGCGGCTCAGCGGCAGCGCATCTGCCTTACATGCAGAAGGTGCCGTGTTCAATCCCCAGCATCTCCAGCTGAAACTGTTGAGGAATTCAGTGCGGAGAAAAACTTCAACCCAAGTTCCTGGAGATCTGCTGTCAGACGGGGTAGACAATACAGACAGTACTCACTATAACGGGATTATTACTGTGATAATCAGAAAATAGATGCTGTTTAAATAAGTTAAAGTGATATCTCCTTCCTTAGCCACGACAATCTGGCCACAGTGATCCATGCCACAGTCACCTCGAGGCTAGACTACTGTAACGCTCTCTACATGGGGCTGCCTTTGTCACAAATTCGGAGGCTGCAGCTGGTACAGAATGCGGCGGCCAGGTTGTTGGTGGGTGCCCCTAAGTGGGAACACATCCAACCTGTGCTGAAGGCACTGCACTGGCTGCCTATACCGTACCGGATGCGCTTCAAAGTGCTGGTGCTTACCTTTAAAGCCCTACATGGCCAGGGTCCGACATACCTGAGGGACCGCCTTTCCCCATATAGGCCCCAAAGAGCACTTCGGTCTGGGTCACAGTACCGGTTAGTGACCCCGGGCCCAAAAGAGGCCAGGCTAGCTACCACGACGGCCAGGTCCTTTTCGGTGGCGGCCCCTATCTGGTGGAATGAGCTCCCGGAGGAGATCAGGGCTCTGCGGGACCTTTTACAGTTCCGCAGAGCCTGCAAGACGGAGCTCTTCCGCCAGGCTTTAGAGTAGGGGCCGCCGCCGCCATAACTGTGGAGCAGGACCGCCGGGGTGGGCCGATGAGTATTGGAACATCATGGCTCATGGCGTCCCCCTTCTGACTTTTGACCTCTGACCTCCTCCTGATATGCAATGGAGAGAGCGCAATTCTAGTCCTTCATATATCTTGTGAGTGCCAATGTTTTTAGCTTCTGTGTCTTAACTTATCTGCTTTATAGCACTTTGTGCCTTGTAAGCCGCCCTGAGCCTGCGTGCGGGGAGGGCGGGATAAAAATGGAAATAAATAAATAAATAAATACAGTCAGTTTCAAATAAACAGAAGTGGTTTTTAACAAAGCAAATGATGTTAACGACGTGCTCCGGAATGTCCAGTGTCGTTTCGACGTTCTTTCTTCTGAACAAGATCCTATAGATAATTTCCAGTTTTTCCATTTGACTGTAACTCGCCCGAAATGAATTTTCCACTAGCAATTGTGCTTTGTTATTGACCTATGAAGGAAAAATATGTGAGCATCAGGCTTCATTTCTACTCTTATAGATGAGACAAAAAACTGGAAATTATCTATAGAATCTTGTTCTGAAGAAGGAACGTCGAAACGACACAGGACATTCCGGAGCACGTCGTTAACATCGTTTGCTTCGTTAAAAACCACTTCTCTTTATTTGGAACTGACTGTATTTCTGTATTTCAACCTTGTAAAAAAAAAGCATATCACTTTAACTTCTTTAAATAGCATCTATTTTCTGATTTTTGCAGTACTGTATTATTTAGTTTAGCGCACTTATCACAGTAACAATCCCTGTGTAGTGTAATATCCATATACTGTATACTCTGTTTGCAATACTCACCATAAGGCAGCTTCATGGATATGTGTTCTCAGCTGAGTCAGCCTCTCAGTCTAGCAAGGTCAGTATTGTCTGCTCTGACCGGCAGCCGCTGACTGAGGTCTCCAGTACAGATCTTTCCCACTCAACTACTATTTATCCTTTTTTGAAAACCGAGGATGATGGGGATTGAACCTGGGACCTTCCGCATACAACGCAGAAGCCACGCCCCTTCCTTTCTGTGACTTGCACAGAATCTCCAGCCACGTGGCAGCAATATCTATCCGTCCAGTGTAGTGCTCCCTCTAAGCTGTGGAGTCCTGTGAGCAAAAATTCCACTTTGTGAGCTACTGCCATTCAAGTTGTGAGCGAGCGATTTGGCCACTGCATAAACTAGTTTGCTCTGGAGCCCCATCCTTCCTGAGCGGAGACAAAAATCTGTGAGCCGGAGGCTAAAAAAACTGTGAGCTGGCTCACACTCAGCTTAGAGGGAACATTGGTCCAGTGCATTTTTCTCCCACCGTTCCTCCAGGGAGTTCAGAGGTCTCTCTTTCCCCATGTTATTGGTACAACAACCTTGTGAGGTAGGGCGGGCTGAGAGGGCATGACCTCAGCTTTGTAGTCAGGTGGAGACCTGAACCTGGATCTGACGCCGCAAGCAAAGCACCACACCGGCTGTTCCTCCAGCCTGAGGATGAAGTCCCGGCTGTTGCAGCAACGAGGGTGAAGTCCCGGCTGTTACAGCAGTGCAGCTCATGTTTGTGGATGGTTAAAGTTGGGCTGGTACACCGCAGAGCGGAGGGGTCTGAGCAGCGCGGGTGTCAGCTGACTCTTCCCTCCGTGTCCCTACCCAGCTGGCCCTGAGAGCGGGGAACGAAAAGGAGGAGGGGGAGACGGCCGACACGGTGGGCTGCTGCTCCCTGCGCGTCGAGCACATCACGCTGCACTCTCGGCTGGACGGGAAGCAGAACGTCGTGGAGTTTGACTTCCTGGGCAAGGACTGCATCCGCTATTATAACAAGGTGCCCGTGGAGAAGCAGGTGAGGACGACGCCCCTGCAGGGCATGCCCAAACCCAGATGCGGTGCGGGCTGCTTCAGTGGGATTCCGGGGGAACGGGAGACTGAATGGGGAAACTCTCTAGGGCTGCCGTTCTCAGTTTTGGTTTTGTGTTGCAGTGAAACTCTTGTAAAATTACTCTACTTCGTGGGATCTGCTTGCAAAGTAGCCCTGCGCTACTTCCCCTGTTTGGTGTCGTGGTTAAGTGCGCGGACTCTAATCTGGGAGAACCGGGTTTGATCCCCCACTCCTCCGCTTGCAGCTGCTGGATGACCTTGGGCAAGCCGTAGTTCTGATAAGAGCTGTTCTTGAAAAAGAGCCGTTTCTGCCAGAGCTCTCTCAGCCCCACCTACCTCACAGGGTGTCTGTTGTGGGGAGGGGGAGGGAAAGGAGTTTGTCAACCACTCTGAGACTCTTGAGTGAAGGGTGGGGTATAAACACAATCTCTTCTTTTCTTCTTCTTCCTCCCCCGTTTCACATCAGATGACCCAGAACAAGTTTATTTTTCATGTTTACTGTTTAGAAATGGGTTGTGAGCGAATGGCCGTTCAGCAGTTTCTGTAGGGTCCAACGCAGGAATGCCTTTGAGCCTCTTGGGGCCCCCATCTTCCCATCATATCTTATTCCTTGTCCTCCCTCCTGGCCTTGAGTCACAACCCATGTTTGGGTTCTGCCCACAGGTTCAGAACCGCCACAATCTCTTCTCCCCGATCCTTGGAATGATCCCCCCCCCCTTAATTTACTTAATTTATAGCCTGCCTTTCTCCCCCATGGGCACCAAAAGCAGCTTGCATCCTTCTCCTCTTCTCCATTTTTGCCTCACAACAACCCTGTGAGGTAGGTTAGGCTGTGTGTGACTGGCCCAAGGACACCCAGCGAGCTTCCATGGCAGAGTGGGGGTTCAAGTTTGGTGTAGTGGTTAGGAGCACGGACTCTAATCTGGGAGAACTGGGTTTGATTCCTCACTCCCCCACATGCAGCTGCTGGTGTGGCCTTGGGTCAGTCGCAAGTTCTCTCAGAGTGTAAGCCGCTCTGAGACTCCGAGTGAAGGGCTGGGTAGAAATCCAATCTCCTCCTCCTCCTCCTCTTCTTCTTCTAGAAGATATGGATTTAATATAAATTTAATAGAAGAAGAAGAGATTGGATTTATACTCCGCCCTTCACTACCCAAAGGTGTCTCAGAGTGGCTCACAAACTCCTTTCCCTTCCCCTTCCCACAACAGACACCCTGTGAGGTAGGTGGGGCTGAGGGAGCTCTTGACAGAAAATGCTCTTTTTCAAGGACAGCTGTGCCAGAACTATGGCATTCTCCAAGGTCACCCAGCAGCTGCAAGTGGAGGAGTGGGGAATCCAACCCGGTTCTCCCAGATTAGAGTCCGCGCACTTAACCACTACACCAAACTGGCTCTGAAGAAGAGATTGGATTTATACCCGGCCCTTCACTCGGAGTCTCAGAGCGGCTTGCAATCTCCTTTCCCTTCCCTTCCCCTCCCCACAACAGATGCCCTGTGAGGTCGGCGGGGCTGAGAGAGCTCTGGCAGAAACTGCTCTTTTTCAAGGACAGCTCTTATCAGAACTACGGCTTGCCCAAGGTCATCCAGCAGCTGCAAGTGGAGGAGTGGGAAATCAAACCCGGTTCTCCCAGATTAGAGTTCGCGCACTCAACCACGACACCACACTGGCTCTGATCTTAGGAAATTAAGCTCTCATTTTCCATTTACAGACTCCCCGCCCCCTCGATTTTCTAAATGCTGCACTCAGTCGATGAAAATTCAGGGTGGGGTTGCTGAACAACTAGTGGTTTGTCCATCTTAAGAGATGACATCGTCGCACTGACATCTCTGGTACGATTTTGTCCCTCCCTTCCATGGCGCTTAGAGTGGCACAGATGGTTCTCCTCTTGCCCACTGTATGTTCACAGCAACCCTGTGAGGTAGGCTAGACTGAGAGGCACTGACTGACCCAGTGTTACGCAGTCAGCTTCAGGGCACAACACGGATTGGAACTGAGGTCTCCTGGGTTACTAGTCTGATATTCTGATTGCTGCCGGCTCTCACACTTCAGGCATAAATGCCAAATAGCCTTTATTTGGTTTGTGGGTCTTTGATTCTGGGCAGAGGCCAAGCAGCAGAAATGGCACAGATCCTTGCCTGGTTATTCAGGAGCTGCTTCGGAGGTCTTTGCCCGCATGTCCTCTGGGTCCGTTTGGAAGTGGAGTCTTTCCCTGTAGCAATTTTCTTCTCAATCGTTGTAGGTGTTCAAGAACTTGAAGTTATTCATGGAGAACAAAGATCCTGGAGAAGATCTGTTCGACCGGCTGTCTGTAAGTGTGGGGTCTGTCTGGGGTGCATTGGGGCAGGCGTGTCTTGCTGTCCGGCCCGACTCTTTGGTTCCCTGTGCCTTTCATGGCTGGCTTCTTCTACCAATGAGGAAAGTGTGTATGGACGATATACCTCAGGGCTCCCCCAACCTCTTTGAGCCTGATAAAGATTATGTTAAATAAATAATATAAGCATTTAGAATTTGTCGAGGACCTTTGAAGTATAAACTTGATATATTTGCAGATGATGTTTTTAATGATATAAGGTGAAGTGTATAAATCTATGATTCATCAGGCATGAGCTTGTTAAAGATATATCACGAAAAGAAATCTCCCCCCATACATGTAAGTATGTTTATGTCAAAAAATACATATTGTTTAAAAAAAAGAGAGAGAGAGAAACTGTTAAAGAAACTCCCCCCAAAACTGTGTTTTGGCTTCTTAGGCAACAGATGACCTGTTCTTATGTGTTCTTTGGCTTCTTTTGGCTTCTTAGGCAACAGATGACCTGTTCTTATGTGACTATGCTGGTGAGAAGAATAAAATTTAAAATATACCAAAATTTAAAAAAAGATAGGTAGTTGTGTTAGTCTGTTTAGAGCAGTAGAAAAGAGCAAGAGTCCGGTAGCACCTTAAAGACTAACGAAATATGTGGCGGGGAGGAGCTTTTGTGAGCCACTGCTCACTTCTTCAGATACTAAAGAAGAGACCAGTGACTCACGAGAGCTCCTACCCTGTCGCATAGTTTGTTAGTCTTTAAGGTGCTACCGGACTCTTGCTCTTTCCTACTTTTTGAGCCTTGTCACGGCTCAGGTGGGGTGTCACCTGACGCTGCCACCACTCTGGTTCCAGGCTCCCTTCAGAAGGCCCACAGCACCCTCCCAGGCCTTCAGACCTCCCTTTTGGCCGAATAACAGGCATGAGGACCAGGCAGAGTACAACAAGGAAAAGGTTTATTTTATAGGAGGTCAAACAAACAAGGTGCAGAATAATAACAGTAAGTGGGTGAAAAGAAAAGAAAGCAAATGCCCTAACGCGTCTAAATATATACTGTCCCTAGCTCACTATTCCAAGTGGCACTAGACTACTCACCCTTCCCTCAGAATGAGGGTCTCTCCCCCACAGCAGCCTCTCCTGGCCCTGTTCCCTGGGAAGAAGAACAGCTTTTCCTGCTGCTCCAGATCTTTTATTCCAAGCCCTCCTCTTTTCCTATTGGTCAATTTTGGCTCCAAAACCTCTCAGGGGCTTCTGGGAGTTGTAGGCCCAGCCTCACCTACTGCTAGCCAGGCTCCCTGGGCCTAGTAGGCCTCTGGTGGCACAGCCCAGATCATGACAAGCCTGTTAGCCATATTTGGAATTTTGAGAGGGGGCTTGATGAGTGCCATCTCCAAAAATGGCTTCCACAAGAGGCGGGGCCAAACCTCAGGAGGCAGAGCCAAATGGAATACCTCCCTCCTCACACCTCCTGGGAAGAAGGAAAGCCTGAAGGAGGAAGGGAACCATGCACTGGCTAAGGAAAGCTCAGTTGCTTACCAGTCCTCCTGATCATCCAATGGAAATCCCTTTCGTTTGAACGAAGGTAGCCAATTACAATCCCTGCCTTACAGTGGCCCCACCCACTTTCTGAAACTCTCAATGGGCGCTAAGAGAAGTACTGGTGTGTGTCATGTTGGGGAACCCTGATATATCTTAAGAGCTACAGCACGGGCAAACTGCTTTTATAGTGGCTGGGATGAAGAGATGCCCTGATCTTTGTTGTACACCTGTGCCCCTAAAAGCAAAAGGGTCTTGTGCCTCTTACCCCCAAAGGTTTGCTTTTTACTAGATCTAAGACAGCATTGGGGATGGGATGTTTGCAAGCAGTTCATGCTGGCAAAAGAAGGAAGCCACAGTTAGGGTCTGAACTAGAAATCTGGGACTGGGGAGGGGCTCAGTGGCAGGGCATCTGCTTGGCGTGCAGAAGGTCCCAGAAGGTCCCAGGTTCAATTCCCGGACTAGATGGGCCATTGGCCTGATCCAGCATTGGCTTCTCTTACGTTCTTATGTTCTTATATAGCAGCTTCATGTTGCGGAGCTGGGTGAAAAGGCGTTAAGCACAAGTTAGGCCCCCATCCGTGGCCTTCTGAAACTCGCTTATCGTGAAGTGGCTTTCTGTCAGCAAGCTGCCATGGTGTTCTGTGTAACTTCTGATTGTACATATGTGATCCCTGTCCCTGCCAGCTGGCCCCTGTGTTTTCTATGCTGTAATGCCAAAGTAAAACAACTGGAGGATGTGAGGGGGAGAGTATGCTTCGCTGTTAGCTTCTTACTTATAGATAGCAGCTGAGGCTCAGTGGCAGGACATCTGCTTGGCATGCAGAAGGTCCCAGGTTCAATCCCTGCCATCTCCAGTTCAGAGGACCAGCCAGTACATGACGTGAAAGACTTCTACCTGAAACCCTGGAGAGACACTGCCAGTCTGAGTGGACAATACCGACTTTGATGGAATATGAACAAATGAAGCTGCCATGCAGTGAATTTGACCACTGGTCCATCAAAGTCCACAAGGTATAGATTGGAACTCTCGGTCTGGGGCAGGTGATGCTCTGTATTTTTAGTGCTTGAGAGGGGTCAATAGTGTCCTGGCCCCACTGCTGGACCTCCTGATGGCACCTGGTATTTTTGGCCACCGTGTGATACAGAGTGTTGGACTAGATGTGCCATTGGCCTGATCCAACATGGGCTTCTCTTGTGTTCTAATGTTCATATACAGCAGCTTCATGTTGCGGAGGTGCCTGAAAAGGAGTAAGCACAAGTTAGGTCCCCATCCGTGGCCTTCTGAAACTCGCTTATCGTGAAGTGGCTTTCCCATCTTGTCTTCCAGACAACAACGCTGAATAAGCATCTCCAGGACCTGATGGACGGCTTGACGGCAAAGGTCTTCAGAACGTACAACGCGTCCATCACGCTGCAAGAACAGCTGGAGGCGCTAACCAATGGTAAAGGGGAAGGCCTCTGCGCAAACGTGACTAGTTCTGGCAAGACGACCCAGGGCTTGCTAACTCTTGCTCGGGCTCACATTTTGAGAGTGGGGAGGGGATGGGCCGGTGGGCTTGGGAGATGCAACTTCTCAGTGGTCTTGGACTGCACCGTCAAAGACTAGAAAACTGGGATGCTGCTGTGCTGTCCGACATCCATTCCTCTGCAGACTCACCTTCACTTAAGCAGCATGTGCTGTTTTGGAGGTAAAGCCAGGTAGAGAAGGCCAGATGTGAAGCTAGTTGAGGGCAAGTGGGTTGGAGCACCTTCCCTGTGAGGAGAGAGTCTAGGACAGGGTTATCAAACATGCGGCCCAGGGGCCAGATGAGGCCCCTGGAGGGCTTCTAATCAGGCCTGCAGTGGAACCGGCCGTCTTCTGCTGCTGCTTCCAGTTCTGCTGCTGCTCCATCATTGTAGGTTTGCAGCTTACAGATACACACCTGAACAGCATACTCAAGAGCAGTGTTCCCTCTAAGCTGAGTTAGTGTGAGCTAGCTCACAGTTTTTTAGCCTCCAGCTCACACTTTTTTGTCTTAGCTCAGGAAGGATGGCTCCAGAGCAAACTAATTTATGCAGTAGCCAAATTGCTTGCTCACAACTTTAATGCAGTAACTCACAAAGTAGAATTTTTGCTCACAAGACTCCACAGCTTAGAGGGAGCATTGCTCAAGAGTGGAACAGCACTGACATTTTGATGCAATAATTCAGAGCAAGAGGTGTCAGTGATCAGACACTGTTAAATAAACAAAATATTGCAAGAGCGCTAATGTTTTAAGCATATTTTTATTTTAAGGTGCTAATGTTTTAAGCATGTTTTTATTTTAAGTTTAAAAAACCTTTGTGTTTGTGTCCTTTAGCATTGCATTTTATGACACACATGGCCCAGCCCGACCCGACAACGTCTCATTTAGGACCCTCATAACAAATGAGTTCGACACCCCTGGTCTAGGCATTTTCAGTTTAGAAAAGAGACAACTGGGGGGGGGGGGGACACAATAGGGGGTGGAGAGAGTTGACCAAGAGAACTTTTCCTCCCTCTCCCAAAATACCTGAACTCAAGGGCATCCAATGAAGTTGATGGGCAGTAGGTTTAGGACAGAAAAAAGGAAATACAACTTTATGACGTGTTGGGTTTGGGGTTTTTTGCTTCCGCAGAGGATGATAACGTGGCTGCAAAGCTCCTCTCCTACAACCGAGCCAACCGTGCCGTCGCCATCTTGTGCAACCATCAGCGGGCCACGCCGAAGACCTTTGAGAAGTCTATGCAGAACCTCCAGGCCAAGGTGAGACTCCAGGGGGAACGTTTTGCAAACTGGCCATTTGAGGTAGATTCTTGGTCTGAAGCAGCAGAACAAAGTTTGAGTCCAGGGGCACCTTTAAGACCAACAAAGATTTATTCCAGGTATAAGCTTTCGTGTGCACGGCACACTTCTTCGGAGCTTTCCCAAATCTGAAGAAGTGTATGAAGACGAAGAAGTGATTGAATGTATACCCCCGCCCTTCACTACCCGAAGGAGTCTCAGAGCGTCTTACAATCGCTTTCCGTTCCCCTCCCCACAACAGACACCCTGCGAGGGAGGTGGGGCTGAGAGAGCTCTTTCGAGAAAATGCTCCTGAGCGAACAGCTCTGAGAGAACTTGCAACTGACCCAAGGTCACACCAGCGGCTGCATGTGGAGGAGTGGGGAATTAAACCTGGTTCTCCCAGATTAGAGTCCACGCTCCTCACCACTACACCAAACTGGCTCTCACACGCATGAAAGCTTATACCTTGAATAAGTTTTTCTTGGTCTTAAAGGTGCCAGTGGACTCAAACATTGTTCTGGCCATCTGAGAGTTTGTTTGGCGGAGTGAAAGGACACTTCCTTGTTTAGCGGCTTCCTGCCTGAGTCTGCAGGTTGATGCTGCTTCCCTGTTGCAGTGGAGTGGTCTCTCATATGGCTAGGAAGAGATACACCCCAAGAGATGAGCTTTATCCGTTGGGTGTGGCTCTCTGACCCGCAGTTGGTGCTGGACAGCTGAACTGTGAGGGATGTGAACTTGATGCAGGCAGGTGTGGGGAGGCGCTGTTGATTTATTGTAATGTAGTCGCAGTGGACTAAGACTGGGGAGACCCAGGTCAAATCCTCACCCAGTCAGGTATTCACTGGTTGACCCTGGGCCAGTCTCTCTCTCACAGTGCAGAGAGTGGGTTTTGTGAGGTAAAGTCGAGGAAGGGAGAATCGCGTGTGTTAGCCCGAGTTCCTTTGAGGAAGCGCAGGATAAAAAGTGTAATAAAGAGAAGGTAGATGTGAGCACGTTTTTCAGAAGGTGGATGGGCAGGGGAGAAGATATCCTCCACAGGACTTCTGTGAACGAAGTCTGAGCCCTGGCAGGGAGAGAGAGAGAGAGGCAGTACAGAGGTAAGAGTGTCAGACTAGGCCGAGGGCCGTGTCTCGCTGACAGAAGTATCTGCTTGGCACGCAGAAGGTCCCAGGTTCAACCCCCGGCATCTCCAGTTACAAGGACCAGGCAGTAGGTGATGTGAAAGACCTCCACCTGAGACCCTGGAGAGCTGTCAAGAGGGGCTGTGGCTCAGTGGCAGAGTCTCTGCTTGGCATGCAGAAGGTCCCAGGTTCAGTCCCCGGCATCTCCAGTTAAGGACCAGGCAGTAGGGGATGTGAAAGACCTTTGCCTGACCCTGGAGAGCTGTCAAGAGGGGCTGTGGCTCAGTGGCAGAAGGTCCCAGGTTCAGTCCCCGGCATCTCCAGTTAAAAAGGACCAGGCAGGAGGTGATGTGGAAGACCTCCGCCTGAGACCCTGGAGAGCGGCTGCCAGTCTGAGATCCAGAGGAGTTAGCCATGTTAGTCTGTTGCTGCAAAACAGTTAAAAGCCCAGTAGCACCTTTAAGACGAACAAACTTTATCGTAGCATAAGCTTTTGAGAAACACACAGCTCTCTTCGTCAGATGCTTGGAGGGCATGAAGAAATTGCCCCCTCCCCTTACCACCTATATATCTCTGGCCAGTTTCTTCGTACCCTCCATGCATCTGACGAAGAGAGCTGTGTGTTTCTCAAAAGCTTATGCTACGATAAAGTTTGTTCGTCTTAAAGGTGCTACTGGGCTTTTTACTATCTGCAATACAGTAGGCAATACTGACCCTGATTCACCATGGGTCTGAGTACAAGGCAGCTTCAAGTGTGGGTTGATGGGATGCACATATGTGACCTGGGTTCACATCCACCCCTTTGCTGCGAAGCTAACTGGCTGACCTTGGGCCAGATACCCACAGGGGTGTTGTGAGGACAAACTTGAGGCAAGGGGAAGCCCTATATTTGTTGTTGTTCAGTCGCACAGTCGAGTCCGACTCTTCGCGACCCCATGGACCAGATCCCGCCAGGCCTTCCGGTCTTCCACCGTCCTCTGAAGTTGGCTCAATTTCATGTTCGTTGCATCGATGACACTGTCTAACCATCTCATCCTTTGCCGTCCCCGTCTTCTTTGACCTTCAGTCTTTCCCAGCATCAGGGTCTTCTCCTCCAGTGAGGGCTCCCTTCTCATTGGGTGGCCAAAGTATTTGAGCTTCAGTTTCATTATCTGGCCTTCCAGGGAACAGTCAGGGTTGATTTCTTTTAGGATTGACTGATTTGATCTTCTTGCAGTCCAAGGGACTCTTGCAGTCCAAGCTTTGCTGGAGAAGACTCTTGAGAGTCCCTTGGACTGCATATATATCTATGCAGTTCCAGACTTCTCAGACAAAGGGCGGAATAGCTACGGTCCCGCCCAGCTTTGCCTAGGAAGAGGGGTTGGTGGTCTTTGCTTGCCTTGATCTCTCTCTTTTCCTCCAGATCGATGCCAAAAAGGATCAGCTGGCCGATGCCAAAGCGGAGCTGAAGAGGGCGAAGGCCGACCACAAAGCCAAAAAGGATGTGAAATCTAAAGCGTGAGTTGATCCCTGTCGGGGGGCATTTAAATTTCATACGGGGGCACTGGCTAATCAGATTAAAGGAATACATGGCTCCTTCCCTGCATCCGCCACCACTTGGGTTCCCTGGCTGGATGGGAAGTGGGGGGGCCCTTGCCAGTACGTCTGGGGGCCTAGCCCCGAAATGCCCCACTGTAGCTACGGGCCTGTCCCTGTCCCTTTGGGGAGCATCAAAAGGGATGTGGACAGAGCAGGTGCAGAGGAGAGCGACGAGGATGATCGGAGGCCTGGAGACCAAGCCCTCTGAGGAAAGGCTGAGGGACTTCTTGAGGATGTTCAGTCTGGAGAAGAGGAGGCTGAGGGGGGACAGGATGGCTCTCTTGAAGTACTTGAAGGGCTCCCACTTGGAGGGGGGCAGGGAGCCGTTCCTGTTGGCAGCAGAGGAGAGGACTCGCAATAATAATGGGTTTAAATTAAGGGCGGGAAGGTACTGGCTAAATATTAGGAGAAACTTTTCGTCAGTCAGAGTTGTTCTACATGGCTCCTTCCCTGCATCCGCCACCACTTGGGTTCCCTGGCTGGATGGGAAGTGGGGGGGCCCTTGCCAGTACGTCTGGGGGCCTAGCCCCGAAATGCCCCACTGTAGCTACGGGCCTGTCCCTGTCCCTTCGGGGAGCATCGAAAAGGATGTGGACAGAGCAGGTGCAGAGGAGAGCAACGAGGACGATCGGAGGCCTGGAGACCAAGCCCTGTGAGGAAAGGCTGAAGGACTTCTTGAGGATGTTCAGTCTGGAGAAGAGGAGGTTGAGGGGGGACAGGATGGCTCTCTTGAAGTACTTGAAGGGCTCCCACTTGGAGGGGGGCAGGGAGCCGTTCCTGTTGGCAGCAGAGGAGAGGACTCGCAATAAGAATCTGTTCAAAATTTCCTTGGGTACATTTATACGGCTGGTTTTTAGAGGATACTGTTTGAAGACGGCACACGGTTTGAAGACGGCACATCTGTTCTCGTATTAATGGATTTTAAGCTGAGCTGTTTTGGGAGGGAAGGACAGGGCTATTTTGGGGCAGGAACGCACAGGAACGGAGTTCCGGCTGTCTCCCAAGTTGGCCACGCCCATTAGGAGCTCATTAGCATAATAGGCCACACCCAACAGCAGAAATTCATTAGGCTTGACTACATTAGGGGTGTGTGGCCTAACATGCAAAGGAGTTCCTGGTACAAAAAAAGCCCTGGGTTATGACAACAAACAATGTAAACAGAATAAGAAGCAAAAGGTGGGTGTGGCTGGATAACCACACTTCTGGTAACATGGGGGGACGAATCTTTTCAGAATTTCCTTGGGTACATTTATACTGCTGGTTTTTAGAGCATACTGTTTGAAGACGGCACACGGTTTTAAGCCATCTGTTCTAGTATTGATGGATTTTAAGCTGAGCTGTTTTGGGAGGGAAGGTATGTCTTGCTTTATTCCCGGAAATAGTGAATTGTTAGTTGTATTTGTGTGGGCTACCCGAGAACCATGCTAGTTGGGGGTGCCAGGAAAACAATTATTAAATATTTTGTTGTCATTATTGTTGTTATTTTTGCCTTCGAGCGGCAGCTGACTTACAGTGACCCCCTTGGGGTTGTCAGGGCAAGAGACATTTGCAGGTGTTTGGCCATTGCCTGTCTCTGCGTAGCAACCCGGGACTTCCTTGGGGGTCTCCCATCCAAGTACTAATCATGCCCAACCCTGCTTAGCTTCCAAGATCTAACCAGATCAAACTAGCCTGGGCTATCAAGGTCAGGGCTTGATAAGCATAGTTATGTGCAGGGGTCATTTCCTGCGGGAGCGCTCAGGAGCGGAGCTCCGGCAGTAAGGAGCCCAGGGGGCGGGCACATGCATCAAGCCCCACCCCCTGCTCCCAGCAGCCCTCAGCCAGGCCACGAGAAGCAAGAAGCAGCCAGGTAAGTTGTAGAGCCCCCGCCCGCCTTCAGGTACAAGCTCTCCCTCCTCTGTGAGGACAGATCTGCATGTCCCCCCCCCCATAGCTAGGAATCCAAAACAGACCAGGGGCACCTTTATTTAAGGCCAAGTTTTATTCAGGCACAAGCTCTCCCTCCTCTGCGAGGACAGATCTGCACGATCCCCCCCACCCCCAATAGCTAGCAATCCAAAACAGTCCAGTGGAGCCTGAGCGGTGGGTGTTGCCATCTGACACACTTCCGGTGATGTCAGGTGGTGTGGCATATGCAGATAAGTTATGCTAATGAGTTATGCTAATGAGCTCCTTCAGCTCTTTTTCTGCAAAATGACCCCTGGATATAAATAACAGTCCAGTATCACAGTGGAATTTTTACCATCAGTAGTAGTTCCATTCAATCAAATATCCTATGGCTAATAACAATCCTGATAGCAGAGCAACCTTGATTTGATAAACATTTGTATCTCACCCAGATTCACATAAGTTGCGAATTTATCATGAACTTTATCATTCCATTTTATTGAATAAATAGGCCATTTCTCCACAAATTTGTCAGGGAGAATAGGAGAACATAAGAGAAGCCCATGCTGGGCAGAGCAACCTTGATTTGATAAACATTTGTATCTCACCCAGATTCACATAAGTTGCGAATTTATCATGAACTTTATCATTCCATTATTGAATAAACATAGGCCATTTCTCCACAAATTTGTCAGGGAGAATAGGAGAACATAAGAGAAGCCCATGCTGGATCAGACCAATGGCCCAACACTCCTGTGTCACACAGTGGCCAAAACCCAGGTGCCATCAGGAGGTCCATCAGTGGGGCCAGAACTCCAGAAGCCCTCCCACTGTTGCCCCCCAAGCACCAAGAATACCCAGCATCACTGCCCCAGACAGAATGTTCCATCTACACCTTGTGGCTAACAGCCACTGAGGAACCTCTGCTCTTAAGAACATAAGAGAAGCCATGCTGGATCAGGTTAATGGCCCATCCAGTCCATCACTCTGTGTCACACAGTGGCCAAAAACCAGACACCATCAGGAAGTCCCCAGTGGGGCCAGAGCTCCAGAAGCCCTCCCACTCTTACCCCCCACCACCACCAAGTACCAAGAATACTGAGCATCACCACTTCAGACAGAGTGTTCCATCTATACCTTGTGGCTAATAACTACTGCGGTGGCTCAAGTGGTTAAGACGCTGAACTGCAGGCTGTGGAAGGTCGGTAGTTCAGCAGTTCAAGACCCGGGTGCCGCATGATGGAGTGAGCTCCCATCTCTAGTTCCAGCTCCTGCCAACCTAGCAGTTCGAAAGCAAGAAATTGCAAGTAGATGACTAGGTCCCACTTTGGTGGGAAGGGAACAGCGTTCCGTGCGCCTTGGTGTTTAGTCATGCCGGCCACATGACCATGGAAACGTCTCCGGACAGCGCTGGCTCTTCGGCTTTGAAACGGAGATGAGCACCGCAACCCTAGAGTCGGATTCGACTGGCTTTCGAGCAAGGGAGACCTTTACCTTTAATAACCACTGACAGACCTCTGCTCCATAGGCTTATCTAATTCCCTCTTGAAGCCATCCATGCTTGTAGCCACCACCACTTCCTGTGGCAGTGAATTCCATGTGTTAGTCACTCTTTGGGTGAAGAAGGACTTCCTTTTATCTGTTGTAAGCCTACTGCTCACTAATTTCGTGGAGTGCCCACGAGTTTTTGTATTGTGAGAAAGGGAGAAAAGTCCTTCTTTCTCTGCCTGCTCTATCCCAGGCATAATTTTGTCAACCTCTCTCAAGTCACCCCTCTGTCGTTTCTCCAAGCAAAAAGAACCCTGACCTCTTTAACCTCTCTTCATAGGGAAGGTGTTCCATGAAATAAATAAAGCCGCTTCTTCTAAGGTATTCTCGAATGGAGTATGAGAACTAGAAGCTTACATTTTTGGCAAGAGCCAG